GGGTCGACAATTAATTGGAGCGCGTCGGTGGCAGATTCGCCGATTTGGTAATCACTCGCACGATTTGGCGGGGACACAAAGGGTGGAAAATTTCGGGTAGAGGGGGCGGAAATATCGAGAAAAATCGGAGAGGGATGCGAGGACGAGAATCGATCGCTCGGAGTGGGGGCACCCTACGAGAAGTTATTATCGGTAAGGAAAATGGCCCGGAGGGGTGGAGACAAAAAAGAAGTAAATGATTAGATCCGTTAGGCTGGGGGGAGATCCGTGATTAGTTAATCGATCACTCGACCGGATGAATTTACCGGGGAGGGAAATCGTTCTCAGGGGCGAAAAAGGGGAGGAACTTTTTGTCACCTGGGAAGGCACTTGATAAGGGCTGTTTTTCCACTTAATTTGACGAAATGTCCTCGTAATTCACAACTGATCGATGCGAGAGGAGTCATAAATGCGATTGCTCAATGGAGGCCTGCAATGGCTAGCAGAAATTGAATGGAGACCGGAAGTGGAAGTGGTAGGGGGCTCTCGTCCGAAGGCAACTTCCGGCTGGGCCGGAAGTGGCGCCGCTTGCGAGAGTCAAGGGTCGGGAAGAGGGTCGTCGCGAAATTGACCGATCGCGGTCGTGATGGATCGAGTCTCCCTTCCTGGGGGGTCCCCTAGGACGAGGGGGTGATATATCACCCCCGCGCCGATAGCACGACAAGGGGCGAAGACTCTCGTCGTCGCGATCGCCCGGAGATCTCATCCCGAGTTTGGACAGTTGTTTATTCCTTTTATTTTCTTCAACATCGGAAAATGGAATTTTCAGGAAAAACCGCAACCCCCGCTCGGGAGCGTTAAAAGCTGAATTCGCCTTTCCTTCATTTTTCACTTCTCTTCCGGGCACTTCCGACCTCCCTTGTAACGGGACGAAGGGTGGAAAAGAGAAGGGAAGTGGTGCTTTGCGAGAAGCAAAGCTGGTAGAGGATTCTTTTTCTCTCCTTTTCCTCTTTTTTTCTTTTTTTTTTTTTTCCGTTTGTTTGCCTTCCTCTATCGCCGGCGAAATCGTTGATCGCGGATCCAGTGGCTCTTGGGGGGGGGGTCGCGATTCGAGCGCGTTTTCCTGCCTCTCTCGAATCCCTGTTTGTCCCGATTGTTCGGTTTCACCCTTAAGGGGCTCGGCTGGGGTTAATTGGGGACCGGGGTGGTGGTTCCGAGGGAACGAGGGGGAAAGCTGCGGGGCGTGCTTTCTTCGCTCGCCGAGCCAGCTGATCGCGCCAGTGGGGTAGGTCGGGCGACACTTTTTCCTACGCTCGGGGGCGTTAAGACCCTCCAACCGACCGAGAAGAGACAACGATTAAACTACCCCCTGTGGTTGTCCATCGATCTGTTCATTGACAGGTCCATCGATTGCACCCTAAAAAAAAATAAAGAAATACCACCTTTGATTATGACCGATTGGCCCTATCTGCCGAGGGTGGAGGAGATTCGAAATCCGATCGCCCCTCTTAAGGGTCGCGATGCATCGGGGATTAGACCGGGGATGAAAAGGAGGCAGGGGCCCCAGAGTGGATCGCAAGTTTTAACGAGGTTCCTCGAAAGCCCGCGATTATCTCGTTAAGGTCCCACTCGAAAAGGAGTCCTCGAGGGCACCCCCCTCTCGGTGTACCCCCAGTACATCGGGGAAAGTGCGGGGGAAAGTTCCACCCAGGGAGCCTTAACGACGCCCAGGGTTGACTTAAACGTTAAAACGAAAATACCTCTCCCTCGGGGTCGAAAGTTCGAAAGTTCCACCCCGCGTAGATTTCGGTAATTACTATCACCCTCGTAAACCAATTACGCATAAATTAGGGAATGAAGAGGGTGGAGGGGACGCGTAGACGTCAATGCATTATCATTCGACGGTGGATCACTTTAGATCAGGCCGAATTAGGTTAGTTTGGGTTAGGTTAGCCGGAATTAGGCCGCATTTGGTTGTCTTAAGTTAGTTTAGGTTGAGTCAGACCGAGTTAGTATCATTTAGACTGGTTAGATTAGATAAGGGAGGTGTCAGGCACATTCAGGCCCAGGCAGGGCGGTTTACTTGCAGGCAAACTGCTTATTAAGCCCACGGCATTACAAGGGTTACTTAGGTGGTGCCCTAACCATCCCTGATTTCGAACAACCCCTGTGTTAATAAATGGCGGATACGTTGCTCCCGGGTAAGGGGCAATCAAAAAGAATGGACACCCGAGATGTTTGCACCCCCGTTCGTGTCGGGAATTTCCCGGAATGAACTTCCTCGGAGCCTTTGGGGAGCAATAGCGGCGAAAGGGTGGCTTTTGTGAATTTTCTCTTTTTCCTCCCCAGACCAGGGCTCGGAATCAAAAAGGGACCACCGAGAGGGGTGGTTTCCTCCCCCTTCCTTTCCCGGAGCTCATAACCGGCCGTCGTGCGGAATCGCCGAGCGGCGCTATCGATTTCGCATAACTTTTTCAATCTGCGAAAATCGTCCACGGAGGGGCCGGAGCAATTTCGCACCCCCTTTTCGCGTGCTCCTTTCGAGATCGCCGAGAGTGCCCCGGGTGGAGGGTCCCCCCCGAAAATGAAAAGGGAAAAGGGAAAATCAGGCCGAACAAGAGGCGGCGCTTTGACGAGCGAGAAAGTCTTTCCTTCCTCCGAACTCTGGAACTCGAAAGTCCTTCGGGAAGGTTTTCACCCCCTTCGATCAGCGGGCCGGTAATTTATAAGTAATCGAGGGGAGGCGTCCCGGAAGACGCCCCCTTTCCCCCTTCCCTCCACCCCTGTTTTGTGGAGGTCTCAAAGCCGCCCTTTAACGAGATCGGAATAATCGCCGTGCGCCATTATCGATTACGTCCCGGAGTTCCTTTTTATCCCCCTCGTGTTCCCTTTCATCCCCTTAAGGTCCGGGGATAATTTCACCCCCGCGGCTGAGAATCGTGAAAATCGGAGCGGAAGAAAAAAAGTGCTCGTTCAATCGACACCTGTTAAACAATAATCTAGACCTCAGGAGATAAAGATGTTCTCTTCTTTCCCTTGGCTTTCCTTTACCCCCTCCCTTTGTTTCCCTCGTTACCGGAGTATTTGCGTGGGCCAGGAGAAGGGAAACCCGTAAACGCCGTTGACGAGTTTACTTCCAGGTGGAGTGTACTCTCTGGGGGGGGTTGAAGGCCGAGTAAAGCGCGCGGGGGTTAACGAGGTCCAGGGTGGAATCGGCGAGTGCAATTGTCGGGTAATTCGTTCAATTTGCGGAGGTCTCGGGGAGGCGAGAGATCCGGAGGAGAAGGAGCTCGAAAAAGGGGTAGGAGGGAGAGAAAGTCCCGACGAGGGGATAATCGATCGCGGATAATTCGTTCGATCTGTCGGAATCGGCCCGGCGATCGACCCCCTGGGGAAATTCGGGACTCTTGGGAAATTTCCCGCCCCCGGGAAATTCGGCGGCAGGCCCTCCCCTTGATAAAAATTTCACACCGTGGACCCCTTGCTGACGTTTGCCGGTCCCGCCCTGGCGGGGGGTGCCGGTGGGCCGGAGGGGGCGGAAGGAAGCAAGGGGTGAAATCGTCGACCCTCGCCGATGGGGCCGATGACGTAAGAGCCGCAGGTTTCGGGGGTGCAGGGGTCGAGAGGGGAATCGTATGTAGGTCGGACTGTCAGTGCCACGACCTGGTTCCACCCCTAAAGCCGGGAGGATGCGGCGACCCACCCCCGGCCACCCCCGGAATCCCGAGCGATCCCCAGCCTCCGGCCAGGCTCTGGTACAAATCCCTAAATACATTTCCAGCCCCTCGTACGCAATTACGAGGAATTCAAGCCCCCTCGCCGAGGGTGCAAAACCCGCCACCCCCTCCATCTCCGAGTCCTCTAATGAGTTCCTCCAGGTGCGCGCCCCCGTGACGCGAATTCGAATCGCGGGATCTGAAATTCCCTCCTTTCTCCCCCCCGGGAGCTTTTCCGTCCCCTTCTTCAGGGTTAATGATTGCACGGAGTATCGGAAGACGATAAATATCCCGATCGGGGGTGGGAAAAGGAATGGGAATTGCTGGCCGGGGCGACCTCCCTTCCTTCGAATTATGAGCCCGGGATCATTAGGCCGTTAAAATTCCGCTCGCGAAGATTTCTTTTATATCTCGATATCGGACGCCCGGGGGTGGCCCCGATAACCCGTTAACCCCCCCGGATGTGACGTGCCTTCGTCGATACAAGGGAGGTCGCAATTTCAGATCCGATCTCGCGGAATGCTTTACGCGGCCGCGGGCTCGGAATTCCGCGGCCTCCCATCCCACCCCCTGGCTCCGCGTAAATTTGAGAAATTCCACCCCCGGGATTTCAGGGAGGGATGTGTACGGTTAACGTAACGCTGATAACCAGGACGGTGCGAGAGCCCCGGATAATCGTCATACTCCAACCCCTTAGTTTCAAGAAAGGGGTGAAATCGACAGGAGGTAATTTTTAAGGAACATAAAAAATGCCGAGGAAATAAATAAACATTTTATTCAAGGTCTCGGTTTCATAAGGACGTCTCTGTGGCTTGATATTGGTTGGATGAGCAATTTTTTCTCCATCACGGTGAGAGGGTATTTTTTTTTCTTCTTCTTCTTTTTTATGGTTAGGCGTTGACGCCTCTCGGTGAGGGTGCAATTATCGCCGTAGGGGTGGAGGACGATTGGACGTGAAATTGTTGTCGAGGGGCGGCGGGACAGCCGGTGTCGTTAGCCGATGATAAATGAATTAATAAAAGGGAGAAATCGGTGTTGCAGGGGTCGAGCTTGTCGGCCGAGCGATCGAAGGAGAACTCGTTAATTGTTCCTCGCATGGATCGTGAAGACTTTTCTACTTTACCGACGTGGCTTGTCGTAGTTGCAGGAGGCGATAGCAGATGGCGCTGCGCGCTTCGCCTGAAGTAAGTGGTCAATGTTCCATTTGAAAGAGATGGGCTCCGCGAAAACGCAAATAATTAATTGTAAACCGATTGCATCGAAAATGAGTGACGGACAAATAGTACATTCTTACAGGTTCTCCTTATTTACATATATTTCATATACATATGTATGTATAAAACAGTATCGTACAATGTAGAAACAATTCTCTATTTTACAACTCCCGGGCTCGTAGCCCAACTCGAGGTCGACCTGATCACTCGGTCACTTCTTTCTCCATTCGTTAATTTTGTTCCAAGACGTTCCTTAATTGTTTAATTCTCGTTAGACGTAATTGTCACTTGTTCAGCCCTTTGGCAGCCGGAAACCACTATGTGGCATCGAGACCCAGACCCTATATTAAGTAAGCTATGCGTTTTGCGGTTTTCAACCGGTAGAAATTAATTGTTAGAATTTCTCCTTTTTCTTATTTTCACTTTTCCCTCGCGAAAGTTAATACAATATTTGTCTCGGAACAATTCGACGGCGAAGGGCAGGTCGCGTTGGACGCGTTACAATTTCTTATCTACATACGTTAACGACGTTGCGTTAATCCATCTCTTCTATTGCACGCGAAATCTCATTTTCTCGCACTCACACGCAGGCCGCACCGGAAATGCATCGCTCGGTGCAGACGAAGTGAAAAGTCATACTCTATACATATAATAAAAAAAAAAAAAGAAAAGAAAAAACCGAGCTGCTTTTCCTCGCATCCTCCCGCGGTTTCCATTCTCACGTATCACATTGGACATCCGTCTGCGTCTTTCTACGGGGACTAGGTTTAACTTAACGCGACTTAACAGGAATTCGCGTCGGGAGTTATCAATCGAGAGATAACATTATATGTACAAAAGTAAAGTGCGCCCTCCGGATGAAATCGCTCTAAATTTAGTTGAAAATCCTTCGTCGGGGATATTTCAGGACGATGGATAAAAAAAAAAATAATGAAGCGCCGATCGTCGAGGGGCAAGCATTGATTTCCTCGAGTACCCTCCTGGAGGTTACCCTGGATAACGCATTTCCCCTCTCGGGGCGAAATCCGGAAGGAAATTGAATTTTCCGGCATTTCCTCGCCAACCGGGCAGAGCGCACCGAGAGCATATCACATGTACCTTCCGATAGCAATTCGAAAAATCGAACCTCCTCTCTCTTCCTCGGCCATTGAGTTCCTTTTCGGGTCTCGGGAGGATTGGATTAAAAAGGGGCGCAGTGCTTTCAGAGGCTCGAGCTCTCCCTCGAGCCGGGATATTTTTGGAAGAAGAGAAACGAGGGAAAAAAAAAAAAAAAGAAAGAAACTGATATCGATATCCGAGCTGCTCTCGGGCTCGAGCCGGAATTCCGAAGTCGAGTCTCGCAGCCGCGTCGATTCATCCTGAGCTGCAATCGAGGTGTCCAGGACTGCATCCAGAGTCGCATCCTGGGGTGCATCGGGACGGACCATTTCCGATATCGATCGCCTAATCGGCGCCGATAAGCACTATCTGTGCGGACATTGAGGGGCATTTGGGAAGAGGTAGCAGTGTATCGACCTGAATCTGAAATCAGAAGAGGAAATCACAATCAGGCTCTTATCTCGGGCTTATCGGCCCGGCTCGATCATCTCTCCTAGTTTCAATTAAGCCCGTTCAATTACAGCCGGCAATTATATCCCGCGACCCGGTGGCGGTCCGCCATAAATATTTCCCCATAACGTCGGAGGAGGGGGAGGGAATCGCGGAATTCAATTCGAGCCCGGCGGTGTAGCAATCACAAAGTCAATTACAAAATCAAGTCGGACCTCCACCCATTATTCCTCTCTATTACGGCGATATCTCCTTCCCCGGCGAGCAGCCCCCGACATACTCGGCAATTATACAAATAATTGAGACCCCTCCGCCGCGGAATGAAGCCGGCATATTCCGCGGGAAGTGACGTCAACGGTGACCGGGGTTTGCGGGAATCACGCACTCGTGAGAAAGCAAAGAGCCGAAAAAGACCGAGAAAAAGGGAGAGAGAGAGAGAGAGCCACTTTACCTACGGAACGTGACTCTCGGGTCGACTCGCGTCCCTCTTATATTTCTCTTTCCGCCTTTTTCCCTCCTCGAAACCGCGCAAAAATATCGCGACGCGTCTTACATATCGCGTAGCCGCGGTCAACCCGTTCCTCTATAAAAAAAAAAAAAAATAAAAACGGGGAAATTTCCCCGTGGAGAAAAATTTTTTATTATTCTTTTCTCCGTGTAACGAAACGACCATGTCGGGGAAATTTCGTTTTCCGCCGATAATACGAGAATGGAGGGAAAATTGTCTCCTGGAAGTTCACCTGCTAGGGTCGTCCTTCGTCCCGAAGCCGTCTATCTTGACGACGTTCCAATCGCCCTGGCAGGCTTTGTAGCTGAACGAGACCTGGAAGCAAAAAGAAGACCGTGCAAGGGATATCCGAGAGGCCTTCGGCGGTGATAAGGTAATCGGTCTCGAAGCGATCGGGTCTATAAACCGAAAGCCGAGAGAGAGGTATTTCTTCGGCCCCTCTAGAGGAGGGAGTTTACGAAACGCGAAACCACGCAATCCTCTGGTGATAGGAGGTACCGATGATAACGAGCCATTGGCTGCCGATAGTGGGCACCCGATAACGCGAGAACCCCTTCAAGGATTCGTCCTGTCGAGACCAAGTCCTTGGGAAGCTATTAGGACAAGGAGCTTACCTGCTCGTGGAAGGTGTCCTTGTTGAGGAACCTCATCAGCTCCAGGTGAGAGTGGAACTGTTCGACAACGGTTAGTTGCTTCTTCAGCAAGTGCTCGACAATGTAGCCCATGGTCACGTCGTCGGGCAGCCTGATCCTGTTGCCGACGGTGATGAATTTTCCGCCCCTGTAATTAAAGCAGGAAAATTGGAAATAATTCGCTTATCGGGGAGAGATTGCCAAACCGGAGGGAAATGGGTAAAGGGAGTAGAAAATAATCCCCGCGCGCAATATATCGGGTACATTCGGTGGAAATGTTCGGATCCCCTGCAGGTTGGAAATCCTAAAATCAAATTCCAATCGCACGTCGGTTTAATCGATGCGTTCCCTGTTGGATTTAGCCGGGAATTAACGTCGAGCGGGAACGGAACGTCCCGACCGGGACCAACGGGGGACTCCGGTCGGAACCGGCGCGTCGGGGGGTCTTATCCATCGGAATCTAATCTCGCGCCCGTCGATCGATACATCCGATTGATTGATTTGCCCGGAATTAATGCCGAGAGTGGAGGGTCGAAATCGAGTCCACCGGGAACCGCTCCCGGAGACGCGGCGACGCCGGGCGTCCGGGACCAGTCCCAGGAGCCTGATTCACCTCTGCAACCAGTTTCAGGACTGCCCGTCCACGGCAGGTGCATCGTCCAGGACTAATCTCCGTTCCCGCAGGAATGTTGCCGGACGAAAGTCGAGAGTGCGTCCGATAACACCGTACCAGGTCCGAGGTACACGATAGCGAGTGGTTTCTCATCGAGGCTCGTGCCTGGCAGGTCCTGGAGACCTGAGTCCCACAGGAAGTCCTTACTTCCCAGGAATCGAGGACATTTCCGGCGTTAAGGCGTCCAGATATCCGCGAATCTCGAGAAAGCATACGGGGCAGGTGTCGATCGGCTACACCTTGATCGGCGGAATTGGTTTTCCTCGTTTTTCCAAGTCTATAGGAGCTCCTCCTTTTCCCTACAAGCACTCGCCCTGTTTCCGGTCGGCCTTAATCGCACATGCGTGTTCGGCATGTCGCGTTGCGTGTAGGGCGTCCCTCGTCCCCCTTTCTCCACCTCCCCTCCCCCTGGATCGCTTTACTCTCGCGTGACGTCGCCCTGTCTTCTCGCTTTGCTCATTTCTTTATCCGTTCCCGGTTGTCTTTGAAAACTGTCAAGAAAATCGGAAGAGAAGTCACGGGAAGGAGGGCGGTCGGGTTTCCCAGGAAACGCGGAGGAGACTTCCGATCGAGCCGATCCCCCTGAATTCAGGGGGAGGAGGAATTCCCAGGGGCGGGAAGGGGGCCGAAAAACCGCAGGGCCCAGTTGGGAGAGACGCGGACATAAATCCACCCAATTAGAGGGACAAGGTCCCACTCAGAGAGCGGAAAGAATCGCGCAAAGGATCGCGGAGGACCGATTGACGAAGGTCCTGTGTTCTCCTGAGGAAGCCCCTCCATCTCTCCTTTTCGTCCATCTTCCCTCTCTAGAAATCACCCTGGAGATGGTGCTACCCCTGGACTTTGGAAAGAGCGACCGGGGAGAGTGGCATCCCAATTTTCGACGAGACGAGACTCTCAGGGAACGCTCCGCGCGACCGTAGTCCGGAGACTCCCACGAAGCGGCCGTCGGGGGGGCGATTATTTATTTCCCTCCCCGTTTCTTTCTAATGCGATTAACCGGTAATTTACATCCGTGTTCCGGTAATGAATGGAGCCCTTAATTAAGAGGCCGATTTCGTTTGTTTGGAGACAGGCCGTCCAGCTGCGCGGCAGCGTCTGCGCGGTTCTAATTAACGAGTTTTCATTAACGAGTCGATTAATCGGACGAGAAGGTACGGCTGCGAGGCCCGCAAATGGTGGCGGGGACTATAGTAGATGTAACGACAGAGGTAACGTCGGTAATGCCGGTAACGCGTACGTGCAGAGACTCAGGGACGCACGCGAACGCAGGGGAAAATGGAGAACTTCGATCGGGAACACGGTTATATAAATGCCCCGAGGTATTTTGTATCGATATTGGTATCGGTATCGGTATCGCCGGATAATTCTCCAGCGAATTACGAGCCACCCGCAGAGGGTGGAAACCGCGTAAAGAGGCCAATAATGCTTAAAAAAAAATTAAACGTCAAAATTGGAGGGACATTTACGAGATCGCAAATCGAATAGATCGATAGGGATTTTATCGGGGGGATTTCTGGTCCTCCTAACAAGGCCCGGTAAATTCCACTCTGGGGAGCCCCCTCAGAATTCCGGGGGACGGATTTTCCCGGCCCAATTAGGGGATAAAAAACGCGGCCCGTCCGCGGGCGTTCGATTAACGTTTGTGGTTCCGATCGGTCCGAGTCGTCCCGACTCATTAGCGAATACCATCGGGCGGATTCGCAATTCCGGGGCGCCGCTTTGGGCCCGCCGCGTCGCTTTTAATTGGGAAGATTAGTCCGAAATCACGGCCGTGGGTGCCCCCGTCCCCCCCGGGGGCCCGTCGGCACCCCTTTCGGCGAGGGCACGGAGTGGGGGCCGCGAGAGCACGCGGGCCCTCGTTAAAATTCCCCGCGGATCGGCAAATCGAAATTTCGCCCCCTCTCTGTCGGTCCTTCTTTGGGCAGGATCCGGCGTCCTTGTCCCCCTCCTCGGATTCGTCCTGACCGAGACGGGCCCCTCGAGATGGGACCGATTCATCCTCGCCGAAATGGGCCCTTCCTTTCCCCGTGGGACCGACGCGGAGATTCGACCGGCTTTGTCGGAGGAGGGCCTCTTTATCGATCAGCTGATTACAGGTAAAGGGACAGGTATCACCCGGCTGAATGTCGGATCCCCGGATCGTAGACTCTGCATCTGTCAAATTTAAGATCGAAGAGGTTTAGAAAGGTACTCTCGTAGGCATTTTGAAAGATCGGGGATCGCAGGTCCACAGGTGAGATTCCTCGGTATCCGATAAAGTGGGACCTGCCCCCCTCGTTACTCCAGGTGGGCCGGATAATTCCGAGCGGCTTCGAGAGAGGTTCCTCCTAATTGGCCGAGACCGGGATTACGCCATGGTCTTCTCAGGGGGATCTTGGATCGGTAGGGAACTCGTTTGGAAATCAGTCGCCGTTCGTCCTGGTCGTAGGAAGAGGTTCGCTCCTCTGGCGGCGTCCTTTGAGGCCCCCGAAAGGCCCCGCCTGATAAGGAGGAATTACGAGCGAGAGCGGCGTTAATCGCCGTAGCGTCTCAATCGTCACCTTTTCCCCTCTCCTTTCTTTCTTTTTCTTTCCATTTCCCCGCGCATTCCTTTCATCGGGCCGTTACAAGCGATTACAATAATTCAGGAAGCCGTGGAATCAGGAATTCCGAGGACTCCCGGCACCGGCCACGGATTAACGATCTTTAAATCAGGATCGACCGGCCCGCGGATGCAGAGTCGGATTTTTTCGGCGATCCGGGACCGGGTCAAGCACCGGCCCGGCAGGTGCTCCAACGACGAGACATCCCAGGAATTCCCTGGGGAAAGGGCCGAGCCGAGAAAAAGGAGGATCGGCCCGGTTTCCCCACTTAACCTCGAAATTTCGACCCGGGGAATTTTAACGAGGCCGATATTCGCGGCTCCTTTGGACGAGAGCCCATCCTGGAATGATTCACGTGGGAAAGGGGGACCGGGACCCTCGCGTCCTGGGAGGACGAGGCCTCGCGATAAGGACGATCCCACGAGTCCTGCGATCGGACTTGCCTTTAACGTCGAGAGTAATCCCGGGAAAAATTCTCAGGACCCTCCTGGATATTCTGGATGGACTTGTGAATTTTCCAGGATAATCTCCAGGACGAGGGCCGGGCTCGTGGATTCAATTCCGAGAGTCGGCAGGACTCGGCAGGATTTCACAGTTGCTCGGTGGAGGCACCTTCCAGCTTTATTGGAGAGTCGAGGCGGCTCTCGCAGGCTCTTCACGGGGAAGGGCCATCACGCGAGCTGGAAATTAGTCTCGCCAAGTGCACTTCGGCTCCCCCGAGGAAGCGTGACCGCCGCCCCGCAGGTGCGCCAGGAGGGATTTAGACGCGATAAATGGCCGACGCAGTTTTACGCGCGTTAAAAGGCGGGTTTAGCGCCCCCGAGCGGGGAAAAGGGGGAGGAAGTTCAAAGCGAGAAGATAAAGGAAGCGGATGCATGGCGGATGGTGGACGAGGAGGCGTTCGGCGATCCTTTGTGTCGGCGTCGGTCCTCCGCTCGGCGCCGCCATTTTGGAGAACCGGCGCCTCCACCTCGGAGTCCGACTCCGGTTTCTTGAGTTCCGATCGATTCCACCAGGGCGAGGAAAAGTGCCCCAGCGAGTCGGGTGTCGAAGGACCTCCTCGAGTTTCGCCCCCGGCAGGCGAGGATTATCAAGAGGTCCTTTGCGGAGCGGAAGTTGCGGCTCTGCGGGGAACTTGGAGGCGTCCCGAGGCGATCCGAAGGACCCTCCGGGAGTTCGCGAAGCACTTCCGAGTCTCTCCCCGGCTCCTTTCCGTGCCTTCGAGGGGTTCCTGGAGAAGCCCGAAGTTCCGTCCGGGAGGAACTTCCGGCACCGCCGGAAGCGCGGTCCTGGAAACCCACAATTTGGATCCCCTCCTCCCCTGGGCGCGAACCGCGAGTCCTTCGGGCATGTAAGGACCTCTCTCTCCCTAGGTACATCGGTATATCTTTCTCTGGAGCCTCCGCCTGGAGCGGCTTCCGGTGGATTTTTTATCCCGGATTCATCCACCCCTGCGGTCCAACGCCGACGTCCCCGCCATCTCCTCCACTTTCGGAGGACATATCTCTTGGAAACTCGTCCTTTTATATCGCGGAACCGTGGAATGGCTCTGGTTTCCAGGGCCGTGTCCATCGGCCTCGACACAATGGTCTCTCCGGTCGCAGGGCCGACGTGAGAACGCGTCGCGAAAGACGCTGCTCGGCCGGGCGCAATAATTGCGCCCATAGGAAACGGCGCATCCGGAGCGTAATTACGCACTCGACGGCACTTTAGGAGAGGCGAGGAGAGCGGGGAGCACTTCGCGAACGCTACCGAGAGCGAGCTGTGCCGTCTCGTAAAAGTTTTACGACCAGCGGCGATCGAGGACGATTCCGCGCACCACCTCGATCGTCGCGCCTGACCAGCCCATGAGATCCTGACCGATTCCAGGGCTTAAAAAATGTCCACCCAATAATTTACCACTATCCTCGTTGAAAATGAAGCAAAAAAGTCCTTTACAACTTATCACCAAGTTGCATGCTTTGCCCGCAATAATTCTCTGAAAATCCCCCCAGCCAGGATATCATCGTCGAGTCGCGCCCGAAGGACCATTCTTGAATAAATTATTACAGGTAAACCAGGCATCGTAGAAAAAAGTCCCGCGGGACTTTTCGACTCGATTTTCAATGAGGATGAAGATGTGTAAATAGCGGGTAGCAATTTGGGCACGCATTGTGTCGTTTCACGGTATATCTTCACCTGTTACGCGCCATTCGTTCGACTCCCACCGCGCTTCGGTCCCTCATCCGGAGGAAAAGTGAGGAGGGGCCGTGTTAAAACCCTGCCCTGTTCCTTTTTCCTTTCTCGAGCGCCATTGGTAATAACTGTCGAGGAACCGAGGCGATAAAAGTCATCGCGGTAACGAAACCGCGACGGGGAAAGGAGCCCGGCTGTCGAGAGGCGTTTTTTTGCCGCGCGGCACGAATTGGATTCCCTTTTTTTTTTTCTCTCTCTCTCCGCAGCGGAATCTCTCTCGGGGCCCGTGACGAGTCGATTCGGGGTGAGGCCCCTTAATCCCGGTCTCGATTCATCCCGACGATCCCTTTGACGGGCGTTTTCACGGTTCGTAGAGCCTCGCGCGTGTCACGCGCGAACAATCGCGATTCCTGGTCCCACGTGGACCAGTGACGTCACTGGAACGATCGCGAGGTCGGATAGATAAGAGATAGATCCGAAAAGAGACGTGTCCGATCGAAATCCCGGGATCGAGAGGTCGAAGATCGCCACGGTGGATGATCTCTCGATCCCCTGCTCAAAAGAACGAAAGACCTCGACACGACGATCTGGACCTTGCTCCGAATGAATTAATAATTGAGATTTAACAACAATCAACGGATGATTCCGGTATTTTTATGGGGGTGGGATTGATCTTTGGTGATTACAGATTGACTCAGGATAATAATTAGAGGTAACTTACCCGGCGACAGGGATCATCTTCAGGGCCAGTGCTCGACTTATGCAGAACCCCGCTCCGCCAGTTGCGAACCAGAACTTCACCTTCTGCTGGAAAAAGAGAGGATAATTGTTGAATGATTTATAGATTGAAGGAGGATTTTTTTTTTTATATATCGGGGATACAGTGGAGCGACGTGCAAAATTGCATAAGTCCCTTGGAATTATCGGAGCCTCGAGGAACGGCTTAATTAACGTCCTTATTCGCCGTCGCGTCCGGTGTTTCGATCTATCGGCGAGATCTCCAGCGAATGGGAAATCTTGATCCTGCGAGGGATCGGCCGTGGCAAATTGCGAGTCGCGTTAAACAATTAAGGAACGTCGACGCAGCGAACGGGACCCCGATGATTAATCGGCGCCGCTCGAGCGGATCGCCGATTTTCGATGCGATAATTTCTAATCGATCCCTGCGCCAGATACATCCTCCCGTTTGTCGGATCATTAAGGCCGATCGTAAATCCCCGATCGGATCGCCGAGTGGGGGGTCCAACCGGTGGCCCTCTCTCCGACGTCCTCTGTCCGTTTTCCGCTCGATATCGCTCGATAACTCCCGATATTGCTAGACAAATCGAAAAAACCCCCGAGTCAAAACCTTTTCCTAACACCATTCTCCGCAACTTTCGTGGGAAACATTTTTGCGTACGATGCACCGTTGACCCTGAAACCTCTGGTTTAGATCTGCATCAGCGGGTGAATCGGGTGGAGGCGCGCATTACGCGGCCGGCTCCAAATCGGGGCTAAATAATCGGATGGGGTTCCCCGCAGTCGTCGGCCCTGGACGTCGAAAACCGGAACGAGACGGTTTTACGTCGACGTAAATCGAGCACGATTCGGGCTGCATTATTCCGACGGTCACGGGGCGCGCAATTGCGGCGACGCGATCGCTATGTGAAATTGCTCGGTGCAATTTACACCGTGCAATCCCGCGGGGAAACGCGATACGTGACGAGGCTCCGCCCGTTAAATGGGCCGAGGCTTCGTTGGCCTTATAATTGCGCCTTAATAAGCACCTCCAGGGCGATCGACGCGGGGAAAAAGAGCCGGAGTAGCTCGGCGCCTCAACGAGTGACACGGTACACCCGGGAACGTGGAGTGCAAAAGGAAAAATTGGAGACCATAAACGAGTTCGCCCTTACGCGTCTTTTTTATTCCCTGACGTTAGTACGGACGATGCGCGTCCGAGGAGTGATTTGTCATTCGGTGAGGGAATTTGTCGGAGAGGTTGATACTTCGGCATCGGGCATCGATCATCTCGAGGGCCACCGATCGGCCGATCCGATTGCGAGAGAGCAGGTCGGGTTAATCCCGGTTCTCTAGGATAGCCGATGGCGTCGCCCGCGGTGCACACGAGTCGTTCCTCTGGCCTAGGGTGTGGTTCATGACCGTAAGAAACCCGACGAAGCCGACCGCGGAACATAACCTGTGCGCGTTACCGTTACGCGCACCGTGGTCGCGATCGTTATGAGACTGACCTACATGGTAGCGACGATCGAGATAGAATCTCCGTAGAAGTAGGATGGGGTACTCGCGATTAGTGTACGCCGAGTGCACCTTGAAATTCCTGCCGGCGCGGATGTGCTTTCACAAATCAAGGCGCAAGGAACGCCTCCGATCGCGTGCCCGGGGGAGTGGCCGATATCGCCGCGATCTCTTCCCCGGTCAATTTGGCCGGCACAGCCGGACGGAGGGAATCGAGACGAGTCCAACGAGCTTTTGCTGGAGTTTCTAGCACGATCCAGTCGAGAGTTATCGCCGATTGAAGCCGGAGAAGTCTGGGCCCGACGGCTGGGCCCCGCGCGTGGGCCTGTTGCGCGACCCAGTTCTGGGCCCGATCGAGTGGCGCGCCGCCGTCTTTTACTTCGAGAGCTAATAACTCGCGACCGGGGCGTCGCACATACACGCGCGACGATTCGTAGGACTCGTATTAATATCATCTAGACCCTGGCACGCGAGCGATCGAGTTCCCGCTGGGTAAAAAAAACCCGCCGCGTCCGAGTATCCAGCGACGCATGACTCGGGTTGTATAATATCGCCGATGTGCACGTAACTCGCGCGGCTATTATCATTAAGAGCATTCCGCGATAATCGTTATGTAACTCCGACCCACTTGATAGCGAGATAGAACCCGCGGATGTGGAATCCCGGTGCAATTAACGCGCACACGCGCATTTAAAGTTCCATCCGATGTTTCTTTTACCGATAGGCAGAATATCTCGATGTCGTTTCTCCGACTATTCGAGTAGGATATTTTGCAACCTATCCAACGAGCCGTTGCACGAGTCGCTAGCTCGATCCGTTGGCGAGTTACGAGCATCCGCGTGAAAAATCCGCGGCGCGACCCGGCGGGGCCAGTCGGGCCCGGCGCGGCTGGCCCACTTCCGCGCCGATTGGGCCCGACCGAGCCACGCGGTGATTTTTGCTTGAAATCGCGATAACTCGAGATCGGCACGACGGAAATGGGCGCGCGACGGCTCGTTGGATTCGTCTCGATCCCGAGCATCTCTTCAGGAGTAGAAAAGTCCAGACTTTCGAGGGGAGCAAACACTCCTCTCGCGTTTTACCGTCTGGGGCTTTGCAGCGGGTAATGACCGCGCACGGCTGCTCGTCGGAGCCAAAGAGATCCGGTGGATAGATTCTCATTGGAATACACCTCTCACGTATTAATAAAGGGCGATGAGCTCGAGCAGGGTTCGCGGCTGCCCGGCGGGCTCGTACTAGATATACGCATTCGATAGCGAAATTCGCGATGGTATCTCAAAGGAACGGGGGCGAGGGCGGGGGTCCGAAGGGGGGCTCGCAAGGGAACGCCGGCTTATTTGAATAACACAACACGGTGTGTAGGTACTCGAAGTCACGAAGCCGCGACCCGAGGGGACGCGAGAAGTAGAGGTCGCGAGTCTCATTGTTTCGGCCCTGCGCCGACGGCGACCCGGTAAAAATCCGAAAAGACCATAACCTCGAAAGTGCAAGGGATACCGTCGCCTCGATATCGGAAACCGATCGAGATGAATTAAAAGAACCTCCCGGTCGCCCTCGGTAAGGACGACTCCTTGGTCCCAAGAAGCGCGTTAAGGCCGACCGGTTCCCGTCCAGGGCGGAAGATCGATCGAAGCGCCATTAGTTAAACCCTCGGACCGATCGGTAAGGATTTAATTCCCTCTGGCAGCATCCGCGTACCGGTCGGGTCCTTCGAGGAAGGGCAAGAGGGTCCCGCAGGAAGCGGAGGTCGCCTCGAGACCTAATAACCGAAGGTTGGGCCCGAATGCCCGGTCGGCGGCCAATCAAAAGGCTGGATTTATTTTTCGGCTCGGCGAGCACGAGGGGGGGGGACAGGCGGGGAGAGCCAATCGGAGATACGTAATTGGATACAACGTGGCCGTCCCTACGCAACCCCCCGGGTTAGGAATGTAATTAGTCAGGGAGCCCACCGAGCAATCTCGGCGGCCGATCGGTAAGGCACCTTCGTTACCGACTCCCGTGGGACGAGCCGATCGGCCGCGATTAGCGGACTCGTAAATACGCCCGATAATTAAAATTACCGACCTATGGCAGCGCCCCCCACCTGCCAGGTGTGCAAAAGCGACCCGAAGGAGGAGCCCCGAAAATCGGGGAATATCCAGGGTCCGACCTATGGCAGCGGCCTCGCGCGCTGCACATCCCGGGGCCCTCCAGGGCGCGCTAAAGAGGCACTAAGCTCGCCTGGCCGCCCGTAACGAATGATAAATTGGCGCGATCGTTTCGTATCGACGGCAGGAATGCAGAGGGAGAGCATAAGAGAGCCGCGTCTGCCCGACGGTCCAATCGTAACGAAGCGCTTATCGAACGTACATCGCCCCCCTCCTGCCCCCCGTATCCCGCGGCGCTGATAAGTGCAAGACAGGGATAGAGCCGATGCATCGCGTCCCTGTGCTCCTGGGGTGGGCGTGGGTGGCAACCGTCGGTGTGGGTGCCGCCTGCTGCACTTTGCCGCGCTCTTGCACCACCACTTCTCCGGGAGTACCGCTCGAGGTCGATATCTCGTGGAGGGTCGATATCGGGCCCTCTGATCCGTTCATTAGTCCCAATATATACGGACCCAGCCACCCACTAGGGATCGGATATGCAACAGGGCCTGGTCGCGTCACGTCCGACTAGGAACTTCTTTTCCACTATAAGGAAACGATACCTTGGTGGACTCCAATTGGAGGTTATGGCACACCTCGTATGAGGGGGACGAGGGAATTCCCGGACGCCGAGGGTCTTGGTCCATGGAGAGGAGTTCATATCTTCGGGATGATGGGTTACTTCTCTCTTTCTCCTTTCATCTTCCGTCATGAGATATCGGCTCAGGGTGCCGTTCTAATGGGTGGGGCCGATCGGGAGATCTGTTCATCTCGGGTGGACGTGCAGGTTTGGAAGGGGTCCAGGGATCAAAGACCCGACGTCCGTCGATCGATCTCCAGGGGCCGGAGATCGATAGAGACGCGCGTGGTAGCGTCCAGATTCCCGATCGAGATCCGATAGGATCCAGCTCGCGTGTTCATCCCGTGTTCTAGGAACGATCTCTCGGCGATCTTGGCGACCTCGTCCCCCTCCTCGTCGGTGCAGCGAAGAGAGCGACGCAGCATCCCGAGGGCCGAGACTCGGCGTCGCGACGCCGTTCCTCGCGTCCGCGCCTACGTGTACGATTATGCGCAACAGGAGTACCGAGGGCGAGGTGCACTCGCGTACCTCGCCCTCGTTAAGCCTCTCCCCCTCCTCCCACGCCCGATAAAGAAGCGCATCTTCGAGATGATCCAGATGAAACTCAAAGAAGACCCCGGCGAGACGAAAGGATTAATTGGAGCACTTTTCGCCCTCCTCGGGAAGAGTGCCTCGGAGCGAGTCGAACTCTCTTCCGCGAGTGCATCGAGGAAGATGCTCCTCCGGAGATAAGGTCGGATGCTGCAGTAATATCGGAGTAACGGAGGCAGCCTACTCGGAGCGCGCCTCCTCCGGAGGACAGCCGGTGGATATCCATCGCGGATATATCGCGGGTGCATCCGAAGAGGGGGGGGGGGGGTCGGCGCGGCGGGATGCAGTGGGATGCAGGAGGATGCAGTGGGATGCGCCGGAGGAGGCCGTCACGGGTCACGAAACGAGTCTTTTCTCATCGCTGCTCTCGGCCACTCTCGGGCCCCGCCTGCGAGCCGCGCGAGAGAGAGGTCCGAGGCGGGTTACTATGAGAGGGAGAGAGACGCACCGAGGAACGCACTCGGTAGACGAGAAGAGCGAGTACCGAGCGAGTACTCGGCTCCCTCTGGACCAGAACCGGCCAGGGGGCAAGGGGGCAAGGGGGGAGGGCGCAAATCGATCGAATATAATAAAGAGAGAGTGCGAGCTGGGGTTAATCGATCGTCGGACTGATCGACATGTTCGATCAACGCGCGTGCGCGGACCCATTATCGGTTATCGGCCGTGTAGGACCGAGTCGGGGCTTCGAGGACGAGATCGGATGCTTTTTAGGAAAGGAGAAGAAAATTACGTTAAGGATGAGGGAATAAAAAATTGGCCCGATTAGATGTCGAGCCAAATCTCGACTTACGGTGTCTTCAATTGGTCGGTGACTTACGTCGGCGATTAATCCCGGAGTGGAGAGCCGAGAATCGGAAAGTCGCGATTAGGGACGATGACGGCCCTCCGGAGGTGATGGAGGGTAAGAAGGAGACGCGGAGAGCGGAAGAGAGAGAGAGAGAGAGGGAGAGTACACGGAATGCCTCACACGTGGTGCACATCCGCAAGTGCACACGGACATGGGACATGGACGGATCTAAAAGATCCACCAGTGGCTCGATATCAGGTGAAACTGAGCACGAAATTTGGGGAGTCTCCCTCGGGAATGATAAATGCCACCACCAAAGGGTTATCCCCCGTCCGCGATGCAACTAGGGAAAGGCAACTAGGGGAAGATTCGGTCCAGGAGGGAGCGCGAAGTCGCTGCCCTCGGCCCACCTTGACTAACGCTTTTAATGGCCCATCTTCGTTTCCCTTCCCCTCCGCGCCGGCTCGCTTGATAAGGCATTTACACCGAGGAGAAATGGAGGAGGTGCCGGGAGAGCCGTCACCGTCCATTCGATATTTTCGCCGGTCGATCCGCGTAATAAGTTCCTGGTTCCCGGTTCACGGTTCGTCGGCTCCGAAGGGGTTATCGCGTTACGCGATCGGCAGGTACGAAATGACCGTCGCGGAATACCTCGGCGTGTACACGTCCGTTACGCTCCCCCCACGTCCCCCAGAGAAGGAGAAGGCGAGCGGGGGGCCTTTCACCCGAGGCGTGGTGCAATACGCGGGGCATTGCAATTACGCCTTCGGAAAAATCGCCCCGCAACGATACACACCGATTCCGCCGGTTCTAATTATCCCCCCGGGTTCCGGGGGCCCTGTGCCCCCCTCCTAGCCCCCTACCCCGGGGACCTAGGGCCCCGACACGCGAGCGACTCGTGCCCCTCCCGAGATGGTCGCCTCCCCTTTCCATCTGGGCAAGACAGGTGTTGGGTGTCTCCGATGGCGGCGTTATCAATGGCGATCTTATCGATCGATCGGGCTGATTGATATCCGTGCGACCGGTTCTGTATTCGAGATCTGGAATTGCAGCTCCGGGGTAATTGGATTAAATAGGGGGTCGAGTGGGGCCCGATAGAGAGGGAGGAGTAAGTGATAAGAAGTTGCCCCGGCGTTATCAGGGGACTCTTTTTTTTTTTTGTTTTTGAGAGGGGAACGTCCGATTTCCACCGGACTCGATCGAGGATCCGATCGACATTCGAGGGGGAAATCGGGCCGAAGGGGAGAGGACCTGGACGTGGACCCGGAGAACCGATCGGACGTTTTTTCCTTGGACGGAATTAATGGCCGCCGACATGGCGCACGGCCCCGGGATAAGATCGGCGCTCCCCGGCTGTGACCGACGCCGCTGCTCCGATGATTAAATCGCGATGATATCTCGACGGATGTCGGTAGCAACGGCCCAGCGGACGGATTTATGATTCCGCGAGCTCGCCCGATCCGAGGCCGAACCGGGATCGGTTTTTGTCCCAATCGCTGCTCCGCGAGACGGCCCCTCTCCCGCCTCGCGCGGAACTCGAGCCCCCAGGGCTCTCGTATCGACAGCTATCGAAAACTCCTTCGGACAAAAGTTGTTCCCCCCATCGTGACGGAGAACTTTCGTAAGGGACGCGTTCCGGTATCTCGAAGCGGCTAGGTCGGAGACGAGCGCGAGCCAGCTGGGGCTTCGGAGCGCCACCCAGAAGACGCGGCGCGCCGCACCATTAATCGCAATTTTCCGGCCGACCGGCGCTCGCCACGGGAAATCTCCTCGGACGAAAAGTGCCGGGAAGGTTACGACGGGGAACTTTCGTAGGGGGGATTTTTCCGCACCTCGAAGAGCGGCCGCGTTAAAAGCGAACAGGGAGCGGAGGAGCTCCCACGGAGCGCGCGGCTGCCGCGGATGCGCCTCGCGGTTACGGGGCTTACGGCGTAATGGCGGGGCATTAAAACAGGGGGGGCCGGGGGGCGGCGATGTTACCATTTTCCAGGGCCCTCGTTCCCCGGGCTCGTCGGCGCGTGCAAGTGCGCCGGTTGTTTTGCAGATGCATAAATTCGATAAGGCCGCCCCTCGGGGCGGACGCGTAACGAGAGCTTTAGCGCGCTCCCGCGTTCGGAGCTCCTTAACGGGGACAAATATTCCGAAGGTCGTTGCGCATAATGTCGGCCGCCGTTTCGCCTGGATATATATGCGCCGTTTATGCAGCAGGAGCCTCCTCGTTTCCAGGCCGTCGAGCGCCCTTCCTTCCACCTCTTCTCGGCCCCTCACCTGACGGACGGCTCGACTCACCTGTTGTTTCGACGACTTCGGACCCTGCCTCATGATCTCGATCGGCTCCGGGATCGACGGCTTCCCGAGGTACCAATCCTCCCGAGGATTATATTCGTCCAGGAGGCTCAGCAATCGGGGAACGTTCACGTAGTTGTCGTCGTCGAAGTGGCAGAACCACCTGGAAAAAGTGAAAGAAAAATACCTCATCAGACAGTCACTCGGGATCATGAAAAGTAACAACGCAACCGGGTCAGATTCTCGGTCACGGATTAAATGAATCCCTTCGTTGCTCCGAATTTCCGCGTTTTCCGGCTTTTCCATGCTCTCCGCACTTGCCGCATTTTCCCAGGAACCCGACTGCAGGTCAGGTGCGTCCGTGGAACAGATGGGAACGGGAGGGAAAAGGAGGTGGTCCGAGCAGGAAGTCAGCGCGAGGAACGGTTCTGCCAGCCGCGGTGCACTATTAACGCGCGGCGCATCCTGGGTGCATCCTCGGCGCATCCGCGGGTGGCCGGTGCTTCCTAAGCGTCGTTAACGGGCCGGCCCCGCCCCGACGAGAGTCGAGTCCCGGTAATCGCAGCGAAAAGGAAGGAGGAAAAATACCCAACGAGGAGAAGTCCCGAGTCCCTCCCTGGAGGATGCACCGAATTGCGATTGAAACGCAGTATCAAAAAAAAAAAAAAAAATAAATAAAATAATCGAGTTCGGTCTCCCAATAAAATTCCTGGATTTTCCACCCCCTCTTTCCCGTGCGATTTTCTTCCCTCCTTTCCTTAGGGAGAGGAAGGTTCGTTGCCTCCAAGGGAGAGTGCACTCCGGCGAGCTTAAGCCGCCCCTCGTGGCGGCCTTAATTTCGAGGGGAACCGGAAGCACCTGGGGCGTGGAATCGAGAAGTCGACTCGCGTGGAAGCGTGCATCGAGTGCATTCGATGCACTGGGTCGCCACCCCTCAGGGGGATCCCCGCGCGTGTCGGCGTCAATTCCATTGTCTGGGCACACACGTGGACGCCCGCTCGCGTGCACGTGTCTTCACGGAAAAGTGGACGTACACCCGCGTACGAAGGTGCACGTGTCCGCGTGTGGTCACCCTCTGGCCATCGGGACGGAAAAAGTGCTCGTGGGAAAGGCGGCTCCCCGGCTAGCCGACACGCGACCAAGGGTAGTGGATTTGCGCGTCGAGGGGGTGCGTCCCACCGAGGCCCCCCATTACCTCGAGGGGGCGGCAGGCCGGCTTGTGGGAATGGATTTTCGGGGGCATTCCCAGACCGGGCGATCAGCGATCAGCAATCAGCAACCATGACGATATGACATCACGGATAGAACCAGCGTCGGCGTGAAATCGGCGCCGAATGCAACCTCCCATGAAAATCCCGAATGAATGCCCCAGTCACTACATAACCTCCAAAGACGGATCGCCCATGCCGGAGCGATCAGGAAATTATCCGAGTTTCGATGAATCGAGAGAAAAAAAAAAAAAAAAGAACACCTTCATCGCCCAGAGATCCACGTGCAATGGCATCTAAAATTCTGTCCATTCCCCCTGGACCCGTTGATAACGTAATCGGCCTTCGGGATCAAGGAGGAAAGGAAGAGCAGGGGGGAACAGGGGGGACACGAGGAGGAAGGTCGATTTCTGGGAGAAGAAGCAATTAGCCGAGGCACTTGTGAATAATTCAGGGGGCCGTGTGTCGCCCAGCGGGCCCCGGGTCCCTGGGCCGTTAAAAAGCGATCGCGCGGGGCCCGTGAGGGGGGGTCAGAGGGGGTAGATTTACTGCCTTACCCCGGCTTGTCTCTTGGGAACCCGCCTTTCGGTTAATAAGGTGAATTTTAATTAGCAAGGCCCCGTGTCTCTCCTTAGCGTTGATTGGCGGAGGGCCCCCCTCGTATGTGGGGCCCCGTGTACCCACGTCCTATAAACACGGGCCCCGGGTATATATGTATATATGCACATCGCAGCCTATCTTCCCCTGATATCTCTCCATGCATGTTCCTCGGAATCCTTGCAAGGGGCCCGGGGGGTTTAGACCCCCCACCGCCCCCCTCTTCGCCTCTTCTTGGACTCCGAGGATTCCCGCAATTTGGCACCTGTTACTCGAGCTCGTTACTCGAGTTAAAAGAGTCGCTTTAATTCGATGACTTTTCGAAGAGGGGGGCCCCCCATTTTTTATTTTCACAGGGGTCAAGGGCTGGCGTGTGCCGGGGCCCGTGGGCGTGGTACGCGTGTATACACGGTTGGGAACCGGCACCGATCACCGGCACCGATCACGACAGATCGATCGCGCCCACGGTCGCGATAATTATCGACGATCGGCGCCGATCGAGCGTAATTACCGGCGGATCCGCGGCCCACCTGGGGCCCCTGATAACGATAAGCGAGTCTTACGCGGGTCTTTCGTCTTCCTCCAAGTGTCTCGGTCCTCTCGTTTAATGGTTTTAATTTTTTTTCTTCTTTTTCTCTCCCCCTTCGTTATCGGGAATTCCCGCTACACGCGGAAGTTCGTCTCGATGGGATCGGCCGTGCAGAAAGAGCCGGGGCACTCGGCCGTGCACAAGGGGCGATTATGCCTGCACGGTGCGCGAGTAATCTCACCTGTTGCACGCCGGGGGGAGGATCGATCAGGGGGGGGATTTCGTATCCCGATTTGCCGGGGCAACGAGTCTCGTTTAACGAGACCCTCGCAGGGTCCCCCGTGTGCGGAAAATCCGGGGAATCAACGCAGGAGAGGCGAAGGGGTTAAAAAGGAAGAACGCCCCCCACGGCATGCCGACTGCCGTGGAAAATCCCAGTTTTCCTATTCTTCCGCGGTATTAATATTTTTTATGATACGGGGTGCCGGCGAGATTTTTTTTTTCCGAGGGAGGTAGAGGGGATCCGGGGGGTTCCGGGGGATATTTCGGCCCTAAGGCCCCAGGAGCTGACGTTAATAGCGGACCGATGACTGGGCTCGCGTGGAGACGTCTCTCGACTCCTCTCCGGCGACCGTGGCGACCTCGCCGGGAGCGTGGGCGAACCAGAAGGCGCGCGACGCCTCGTTATTTCTAGGTTAGGTGCGATCGCGTGCGCGCGTGCGCCACTCGCCGACACGCCGCCCTCGGTAACGGGATAATTGCGAAACCGCGCGACTGAGAGGTTAACTCGCGCGATAACAGGATAAGACCCGTCGTGGGAGGGGAGAGAAAGAGGAGAAGAAAAGAAAAAAAATGGACGTCTCGGTCTCGAGGTTAGGTTTTCACGGATTTTCTATGTGTAGGTTCAGGGTCTATGCTTTCTGCGTTGCGTATACGGGGTTTCGTTGCTTGTAAGAAATCACGACTGCGAGGTTACTTTGCGTGAAAGTGGCCGAGAGTATTTTTAAAAGGGGGGCGTCGTTACGGACGGCCGAGCCCAAAACGGGCCCCGGGTAGGGCCCAACCCTCGGGGAAGAGCTGTCTCCGGTTGCGGCTCGTCCGCGTCGAGTTACCGCCGATAAATCGACGCTTCCGGTTCCACCTGGACGAGCAGCGCCACCTACGGGTCGCGGATCGGGTGACGATCGGCGCGCCCGCAAGATGTCGCCGGTGGCGATGCCCCCCCCCCCCCGGTTCTTCGGCGACGTTTTCTCCGCGGGTCGGTTTTTCTCCCGGGAGTTTTCTCTCGTTTCCGTTCGCCGGCCCCGGGGCCGCTGAGACCGCTCGAGCGAAGCCCCCAGGGCCCATTGGGCCCGTTGGGAACGAAGAAAGACTTCCGGCGGTCGTCGCTTTTAAATCCCTAGAAAAGGATTTTAATTTGGGCCCGTAAGGCCCCGACAAAAATTCCCAATCCCCGATAAGGCCCCGACGTTTCCCAACCTCTCGGCGAGGTTTCCGCCGCGGAATGCACGGCGATAAAAAGACAGCGACCTCGTAACCGTAATTAAGGGACTCGGCATCCGAGGGATGGGAGTTACGCGGCTATGGGGCCCAACTCCCTAGGCGTCACGGACAATTTAACGGGGCCCCCCTGCGTTTACGTTCCCGCTCCCCGATCCCGGGACCGGTGTTTCCTCGCTCGGTGCGTAATTACGATTTTATTTCAGAGACGGGCCCCGGAGCCCTCCTTCGGGCCCCGCGCGGTCATTTTCCCCCCCGCGGTAATCCGCCGACAGCGCCCCTGGCGGTGGCGTCATTTAGTTACCACAACCGGCTTTCTCTCTCCTCCTCTTATAACGTGCAACCTATGCAGTGATTGACTCGAGCGATCCACGGGGGGATCACGAGGCCCAGCTGACGGGCCCATTTATACGACAAAAGGGGGGATAAAGAGGAACAAGTGCAACGAAATTCCCTGTAAAAGATTACGAGAGGGGTTGGGGAAGACGAGGGTTGCGGTGGATCGCTCCCTGAGAGGTCGTCGATCTAATCGCCCGCGCGATGAGGCGACGTTTGGGGCCCCTCGCGTGGGCCCAAGTCGAGGAGAGGGGCCCGATGGATGCCGTTGGATCTCCGCCGGCGATACAGGGGCATTATGCGCGTTTACATTCTGATTGGCCGGGCCGATACAACGGAAAGATGCTCGCCGCGCCTCCCGAGATAACCCACTGGTGGGCCTTATGGCCCGGGGCCCGTTCCTCCTCCCGGTCCCTTTGTTCGATCCCGTCTCTCCGTACGCGTACGCGCAATTAAAACAGTATCGAGGGGAGCTTTCGGCGGCGACCTCCTTGACGGAGATCGAAGACTGGTCCGGGCCCCGTTTCCGCGGACGGCGACCGGCCGAGCGTTGGGCCCCGGCCCTGGTTTAATAATCAATAATTTCCTCGCATCCAGGAGCCCCTGAGGGCTGCACGTGTACGGACCGTGCCGCGATCGTGCCCGCCATGGTCGGCGCTGCAAAGGTTTAGACCGCCCATCGGCTGGCGGGCCCATGGCGAGCCCGATCGGGCCCAACGTCAACGGGTTCTCTGGCAGAGGGCCCAACGAGAAACGCGCGGCGTCTCTTCGGCATCGTTTTACATTCGACAAACGAGAGATGTACGCGCCGTGGCGCGCGCTCGCCCCCGACGTAGGGCCCACTTCGGGCCCAGAATCAACCCCGCTCGGTAATCGATAATCGGCCAGGAAACGTTTCGACGGAGCGCCCGCTCCACTCGAGCCGTAAAAAGGGCCGTAAAGGCTTTTAAGATTTTATTCCCATGGCTTAGGGTTGTACCAGGGGCCTGAATT